AAAAAAGCATAACTTCCCTAAAAATTACCCGATCATGCTGATTTTCGAACTTAACCGGCGTATTATGAATATTCATCAGTACTGTAAGTTTCAAGCCAAAATGTAATACAGTTTTTCACTTATCGTGTTTACGGTGTTGCATATATGCTGAAAAAAGTGAAAAAAAAGCATAACTTTCCTAAAACTGACCCGATCATGCTGATTTTCGAACTTAACTGGCGTATTATGAATATTCATCAGTACTGTAAGTTTCAAGCCAAAATGTAATAAGGCTTTTCACTTATCGTGTTTACGGTTAAAGTGCACGGCGACGGCGACGACAGACGCAGATGATGGCTATATGTACAGACAAATCTGTGTCTGTACATAAAAAGTACACAACACTGAGTCTTATATTAATTAATTAACTGACCAGTGTCCACGCAGGTCACTTCAGGTAATTACATTTTGCATATTAATAAATGACTTTTGTAAATAAAGAATTACAAGAATAGTCATAAAAAAGGATTTTATTACAAATTCCAAATTGTCTCACCTGTATTTTTCGAACTATCATACAGTCCATTGTATACATTTATATTAAATGATTCTCGCCGTTTTTTATATAATTCTTCTTGCCTTTTATGTATTTCTTCTGCTAAATGGTTTTGGTTTTGTCTGATTGCACCTGAAACCAAATGACAACACTTGTAAATAATACTGATCTTTAGAAGTTGTTTGCAAGAAAACTATATTAACCCATGAACATAAAATTTAAGTAATAAAGCCAGTTGGGATGTTAGAATCATAATTTATCAATAATAAATATTAGGTGATGATCACTAGAAAATATGACCTATCACCACAGAAGCTTAACTTTATGAATGTTTCATTTTTGAAAATCCCTTGAGTGTGTGTGACTGATACAAAATAGTACTTTTACTTTTTCTCTCTGGGTTAGGCAATGTAGCTTATGATCTGATCTTCATGATAAGTCCAGTGCATGTCAGCAACATGTCGATTGTGCATCAAGTTATTAAAGTAACTACTCATCACTTAAATGTACTCACCTTTTCTATCATAAACAGATATATATGATATACCTAGTGTCATGCACCATATAATAATGTTTGCAATGTCTATATAAGATATGTTGTCCTCTAGAATGATGACACCCAAGTGAATTGGAAGTCGTTTCAACGATTTGGAATCGTATGACTGTACGTCTCTGCCCTTGAAAGGGGCCCATGGTTTAGCAACATGTTTAATCCAGCTACAGATCCAAATTTTTATAGCTAACAAAAAATGTGCCAATTGTAATAATGTACCTAATACACTCATACTAAGAAGTTAGCGAATGATGAAACTTATGAACGGCCACCGGCTTCCATGCCTCGACGAACAGACAGCTCAGCTGGCAACAGGACCGGATCTATTTTATAGAAAATACTTAAATCTGATTGGTCATTATTAACAAATCCTACCACAGATACAATTTGAGCAAAGCTCACACATAAATACAAGAACAATATACTGAAACTTAGCAAACATACTCAATCCTCTTTTTTAATTGTAATAATATTCTTTATAAAATATATACATGTGTATTGTTTTGGACCATATTTTTTAATCAAACCATTTAAATTTATGTTTGGTATGTCATGTACGACAAATGTACTCTTTTCATTGGCTGCCGCTAGGACTTGATAAACTATTAGCTGGTACGTTGTAAGAGAAATTAAGAGAGGAGGGGAATTTTTTTCCGAAAAAGTACCCATGCCCCAAATGAAATAAAAATATGGAATCCAATAAATATTGAGGTCAACATCGGATTGAGGACACCCCACATACAAAAAACGTCATAGGGGAAAAAAAACACATTTATTCTTTAATTTTTTTTTGACAATGATGATATTGATAAAGCTACTTTTGCTATAGGGGCCTATGTCGTTAATCAACAAAATAATAACCAGTGAGTATCTTCTTGATGATTACCTCTGAGTTTATGGTTTGTTGGTATTTAAGTGATACCGGCAGGATAAAAAAAAACGTTAAAAACTAACTGTATATGTATTTGACGATAATTTCATTTATAACTACGTGTAAATCATCATAAAACATAGGCCCTATATGCAATGAATAAATAAGCTTTTTGTCAAATTTCCAGGTTTGAAATTAAATAGGCAGTGGGTGGAAAATTTGATTCATTGAAAAAGTAAATCGGACAAACGAAATACAGCTTTATGACAAAGTTAAAGCCTAATGAATAACGCTATCAAAATGTAGCATGTGTAACATAGTTCTTTAAATGTGTGAGTGCGTGGTTTAAGAAAAACGAAAGGAGATAAATATTTTCGTTTTGCAAATATCCCCTTCTTAAACAATTTGCATGAACAAAATTATCATCTTACGCTAAACTTAGTCTCTCCATTATCCGGTGATCAACAAATATATCCTAACACAATCTAGCATCAACATAGTAAATTAGTGTAGATTCCAGGCTGTGCAGCGCATATGATTAACCTGGATGGCGTGCTGACACTGATCGGCTTGGTTGATATCGTCTTTGGGCAGGGAATATATTTGCAGATGCGTCACGGTCTGCACACAGTAGAACATTCACAAAGTGAATGGGGGTTTGTTCCTGTGCAATGAGATTTACTTTATGAACTAGTTTGTCGCGCTTGCAGAGACAATCTTAACTCGCTACGATGCAGACTCGAAGAGTGTGCCTTATTGCAGTTTTCTGCATCTGCATTACAAGCATTTTACATCTAGTATTCAACAACGGGGTCGGAGGTAAGAAAACGTTTATTTAATACAATAGTGTATTATCTCAAATTTGATGTTGAATGTCACTTTTGAATTGGGTAATTTAACATAAAACCGTGGATACTCGAATGTAAAACTACCTGAGTAGCCAAAGTGGACTTGTTGAAGTCAGGTAGGTCTATTTTCTCATGGACATTGGCTGTTTAAAACAACTTCACGTAGCCACATTGCTAAATTTACATGTTCTAAATTTACGGTTTACGAATTTTCTAATGTCGATTGACATGAGAGGTAAACGGATTTCGCATTCTGTCTGTTCTGTTGACTAAATCACCTCTAGTGCAACCGGCAGACGATTCACTGTGAATTTTATAGACAAGCGCATTTAGACGTGACACTGCACATAATAGACGCTGCATATACAATGTATGGGGAATATTGAAGACGTATAAATAATCATTAACGTAACAACGCATGTACGTTAGGATGAGACAACGATTTTTTTTTTTTTTTAAATTCTTACATAAAGCACCGGCTCGATATGCCTTATGAACTTTTTTATTGATGTTGTAATTTCAGACAGTCACGATGGCCTTTCATGCATGGTAAGTAATGCAGCAAATCCGTAGACTTTATATGTTTAAAAGTATGAATGTTATTGAATAAATTATTTTTTTCTTTAATCAGCAGCTTTTATATCGAATATTCACCTGGATAACCTCATTAACTGATGAAGATGCTCTGAACATTGGAGGTAAACAAGTTTCATATATAGCTACTGATTGAAGAAAAAAATCACTTTATTCTTATAACATCTGTTGAAATTCGTCTATAACTGTAATTGGTTTTCTCTGTACATAGCTAGATAAACGATGGGAGATCCAAAATTGTATACTTGTCATATTACATGTATAATCCTCTGCCACTAACAATTTTTTTTTTCAATTTTAAAAATATAAGCAAGGATGATTGAAATTTGCGTCACATGTCGAGAATGACTGGCACATATGTGTAGAACTATAGGATCTGTCATATATACTAGTTTGATGGGTCCTTGTGTAGAATGAAGAGGCCCACGATTTACCCTATTTACTGAAAACAAAGCCTCGAGTAAGAAATCGGCACTTCTGATGTGTGAAGAATTTATCTAAAAAGATTCAAATCATGACACCATTCTTCACACTTCAGTCGAAATAAATATTCCTGTTAGTCCACCACGCTGTCCGTTCTAAACATCCTATACCCAAAAGAACTTCGTTGCAAAGCAGCAGTGGTAATTTGAACTAAAAGTGGTTGTTTCTTACGCTTAAGGAGCATTATATAAATAACATTCAAATTCAGTTCGACAATTTTGCAAGCTTTCTTTTGTTGGTATTTGATATTGATAATAATGATGACATCTTAATTACTTTATCTATAAGAAAACCACAAAATGGGATGCAGTACCGGAACACTGGAAATTGGAAAACAATAGAAGAAAGCAGTACGCAAAAGAGATGTGTAGATCCTTTGGAATACCCAAGCCTTTTAATATCTCAGATATAGGACAGATAACACAACTTTACGTCGACGACAGACACGGACTCCTTTTCTGTGAGGTGCCAAAAGTTGGCTGTACGAACTGGAAAAAGTTACTTCTCTATTTGACACATAATTATAATTATACTGAAGCGATGAGTCTATCGCAGGAAGATGTTCACATGAGGGTTCTTTCCTTTGTCACCCCTCTTGCCAGGTTCAACGAGTACGGGAGGAAATATCGTCTGCAGAACTATCTGAAGTTTATGATGGTTAGACACCCGATGGAGCGCGTCGTGTCGGCTTACGTGGATAAACTTGAAGATGACCACGACCCATACCTACTATGGCTGGGAAAAAGAATTCTTAAAAAATATAGGAAGAACCCGTCCGAAGATGCCTTAAAAACTGGACGGAGTGTGACTTTTCAGGAATTTATCAATTATCTGTTAGACGAGACCAAGACTAAATGGGGTAAAAAGAATATCGATATTCATTGGAGGACGTACGATAATCTATGTCATCCATGTTCTATAGATTATGATGTCATTGGAAAGTACGAAACTCTTGAAACAGACTCCAATAACATTTTAGATATGATAGGATCTCAAATAAGATATCCGTCTTTTAACAAGTCTTCAAAAACTGCGACTTTCATGGACAAATATTATAAGCAGTTAAGTCCAGGGATTGTTCAAAAGATTTGGGAGCTTTATAGAAGAGACGCCGAAATTTATGGCTACGATTATTCTGTGAAACAAAACTAGATTTCTACCACATTTGTGTGTAAAAAAAAACATTTATGAAAGTCTATGGTGGATATTAAGAATTGTCAAATTTAGCTCAGTCCTGTCACATTTAACATATCTTTAAATTTCATGTCTAACAAATATTTTGTACTGCAGTGAAACAAAGAAACACATGGCCTAACAACTAAACGTTTTTACACTTATCTCCCCAAACTAATTTGAATTCCTTTTTTTGCTTTTTAATTTCTTGTTAAACAGAAATCAACTGATAGATGCTCAAAAAGTGTCGGCATGTCTTTATTGCAGCTGTAAGTTGCATGAATCTTCATGACAGTGTCATGAACGTCGTACGGGTTCGTCAGTCAATTATTGAACTTCTACAGTTATCACGAAAATGGAAACTGCTTTGCTTAATTTTAATCGGATTGCTTTCCGTTTTTCTTCCTTATATCCTTTTATGACTTTTATTGCATCTTCCTCAATTTTCTTAGCTTTCTCTTCAGTTTAAGACGCAACTTGTTGGATAATTTCTTTGGTTCTTCATCATCCTTCTTTATATTGTACTCTGCATCACCTTACCCTCTACCAGGGCCGCAGTTATTACCAGAGACATATCCGTAAATATCAAGTGAAAAATTCATCTGTGGCCCTGGTAGAGGGTAGGATCACCTTGTTCGTCGGCTATGGAGGCGAAATCCTCCACGTAGACAGTTTTACCGACAGAGGGCTCTGTTGTCGGGGTGGGGAAAGTTGTGGGGAGGAGGAC